TTACTTTGTGGAAATGAGTTTAAAGAGATGAAGTCTGACAGGCAAAATTCCGAAACCGAGAAATCCTGCTCCCCCCCCCCCCCCCCCCCCCCCCCCCCCAGTGATGTTGGCGTGACAGCAACATGGTTGTGTTTTCATCCTGTTCATTAGCGCTTCGGGAGTGCTTGGAACACTTCAAGCTTTGTGACATTTCAGCAAGTGGCTTCAAAGGCGAGGGCAGGGAGGCGGGCATGGAGGAGGCAGCTGGTGGTGTGGTGACGTTGCGCTGAGAATGTGGATGAGCGAGCATTTATGGGCGTTTCAAGCCCATCTCGCAGTTTTCAAACTGCAAGTACAGTAGGACTGGACTCCGAGTGAAACGCCTTGTCGATGTCTCGTATGCGCCCCTGTAAAGTAAATGTTATTGTTTACACCTCGGTTTTATCTGGTTGACTGTTGAATCTGTGGGCCGTGTTCAGCAGAGGAGGCGGTTTGATGTATGGCACCAGATGCCCGCTGCCAGATGTTGTTGAAGCTGGCATGAAGGTCTGGCATGTGGCTGACCAGGAAATAATTAACCTACTCTGTCTTTGCACGGAAGGTCACCAGTGGTGGGACTTGTGCTTTATACAGCAAGATACGCTGCTTTTTGCCAGTACAGTACTAATCAAATGTTAATATGATTTAAATCTCTTACAATGTCTATGAGGCAAGTTACTTCGCATTTTATTCACTTATGTTGTATAACCTATACAACACCTGGGAATTTCAAAAGCATTTGTGATTCCATTCAGGCAGTTCGGTCGAATCTCCTGTGTGGAGTTTGTGTTTTGCATCCTCCCACATTCCCCCCGCAAAAATCATATAAATTGAGTTCACTGGTAAGTCCGCAGTTAGCGGCCATGCTTTTTTGCTTCCTCAAGATGGCGCCGTAGTTGGCAGCCGCCTGTGAGAGCTCATCAAGAGCACTGCTTTTTTTGGCGTTTTTGTTTTTGTTTTGTCACATGGTGTCTGTTGTCCTTTGTGTAGACCCATCCTGCACTGTTTTCAGCGTTGTGGTCCTGACATTTGTGGAAGAAGAAGAATCTGTGCTTGATGGTTGGGCCTTTCTCGGCAGCACGTGTGGACCAGCACTTATTTTGATGGGGAGGAATGTCAGCACTATTAGACGGTCGGCGCTTGACAGTCCAGAGGCGCTTGTGTTTTTTTGCACATGTTATGGGCAGCATTTTTCAGCGCCCCGTTTTGTTCAGCGGAGATGTGGGCGCTGTTGGACAGTCTGTTGATGCTACAGGATGAATGGCTGTTTGAGCTGAGGTTGAGGATAGAGGAGCGTCGCCGTTTAATGCTGATGTGTATTTGGACCTGAGAGTCGGTGCTTGGAATTGAAGCGGATTTACATGGGACAGGAGAAGTGAACCAATTTCTTTTTTTCATGCTACAGATTCTTGTTTATTTTCAAACTTAGCTTGCAGCAGACATCTGCACATTTTTGGAGCATGACGTCTCTGATCCACTGGTGAAAAGATACTTTGAATCTCTCCTCTTTCATCTAGAACTGCTTCAAACAACAAGGCATGTCCTGGAATATGCTTTTGATTACATGACTGTCCAAGTCATGTTATGTGTTGTGTTATATTACCGTGAAAGCACTTTGTTACAGCTGCAGCTCTTGTGAAAGTGCTATGTAAAGGTCAGTACTGTATTGTATTGTATTGTCAATATGCACCATGCGAGTGATTTGTGATCAGTCCATGATGCACCCCACTTTTCTTGCCAAATGTCTGAATTGCTTATTGGTGTGAACGATTGTTTGTCTATGTGTGGGCTGCAATTGGCTTAGACCAGAGCACAGACCTGGTACAACTACGGCGGCCCGGGGGCCACATGCGGCTCGCCCACAGACACTGACCGGCCCTCACAGTCACCATGAAATCAAAGTAAATGGTAAAATATGTGGTACTTTCATTTTATGTGCAAGCTTGTGGATGCTATTACAAGCATGGTCGCGAGCAAGTGTTCTGACTTGTGTCTGTACTGTTGTCAATGTAGTGACCTTTCTGACATATTTAGCAACTTTTTCGACCCCTCAGGCAATTATTTTTCCAAAGGAGGGCCTAGCAAAGGTGATATGTTCCTAATGTTAGCAACATTCTGATTTTCTGCACGGTGGAGGGAAGATGGACACGAATATCCCGGCCTTGATAGTACAGTACACAAATGTACTGTTTCATCTACTGCCTGTATTGGGTCGATTCGAAGCAGGGGCGGGCTCCAGTTCATCCGACAAGTGCTGTAGCAATGGTCGTGGTGAATGAACATTGCCGTGTATCCACCAATAAGGTTTCTACAGATCTTCCAGTGTGTGGCATTCAGTCATTAGGTATGCTTGGCTCTCTCCTTTTCCGTGAGAAATTCTTACCTTCGCCGCCACTCCCACTGTGCACGGTGCCAGACGGAGTCTAATTGAATGATTTTGCCAGGGATCAGTGAGATTAGGGATTGTGTTTATTCCTCTGTCGCTCTGGATTAGTGCTCCTTCAATATCTGCCTGTCTTTTGGAATAACAAATACCAAAATACACAAAGAGCTACACGCTTTGTGACAGATACAGTTACAATTACTCCGTTTGCCCTTTCAGGTAAGCCGCTCACTTTTGTTATTGAAGAGGCACTGAGCCATCACCGTATAAGAAGTCTTCCCATGAAATTCATTCCCAAAGTGGGCTCAGGCCAAGATGTTTGCTAAGTAATGCAGTGGTCCCCAATCCCCGGGCCGCGGACCGGTACCGGTCCGTGGGTCATTTGGTACCGGGCCGCACATAAATTATAAATAACTTACATTACTTCTGTTTAATTATTTCGGAATCTGAACGATATTTTATTTTGAAAATTACCGGATTCTCTGTTACATCCGTCTACAGTATGTCACTCGTGACGCAGGTCAAGGCGTGCTTCTCAGTCACGTGATAGTTTACCGCTAAAATGAAACCCAGGAGCTGGCAAAATGGGTAAAAAAACAAACATTTTTGGAAAGTTTCTTTGAGAAGCGGAGAAAAGCCCAGCCAGGATACAAAAGAGACTTTCAAGAAAAAGAAGGCTACATTTAATAGACAGTATCAGGAGTCCTACTTAAAATACGGATTTATCTCAACACTCCCACTCTGCATAATAAGCGGCAATGGTGAGTCGTATTGTTCATGCACTATGTATTTGCAGCATATCTTATTTTGAAGGTACGTTTAAACGTTACCATAGTGACCAGAGAGTATTGCGGCCAGATAGGACGTTCCTCGTGTCATGATTCGTGTTTATTATTATGTTTTGAAAATACCACAGTGTCAAACAGGTCATATCATATTATTTTGTTGTCGTTATCCGCCACACCTTAAAGGCCAGTCCCTCAAAATATTGTCTGACATTAAACCGGTCCGGTGGGGCAAAAAAGTTAAGGGACCACTGAAGTAAAGGAAAGAGGAAAGCATGCAGCTTTTTGCGTAGCGGCTGCTGCGTGGGTAAAAGAGGTGTTTGCTGTTGTTAACCTTGCTATGAATCCTGTCCTTCTCAATCCACTGGTAATCCTAATAATCCCAACCCCATTTCTGTAATAAGTGCCAGATGCTGATGGAGCAGATAAACACCAAGCTTGTGTTTTTATACAAGAAAAATAAAGCAATAGGAGCCCCGTTGGAATCCACACGCTGGGATAAAAGAATGAGAAAATAGTGGCGCACCTACACAGGGGATCATTCGCAACAAGGAGAGCTCCGGTGCCTTGGCTCACTCTTTCAAAAACAAGTTACTTTGTAGTAGTAGTTAGGGATGGGCATTTTGAGCAAATCATTGATCTTTTGTCTGGAAGCGATTAATGGTAAATGAAACCAAATGAAGAGCACAACTTGGTTGCGAGCAGCAGCTGCGCTGCTTTGTTTGCCGCGACATGATTCTGCTCAATGCGATATTGGCACGAAAGCAGCAGTTCAAAACATCCAAAGGATGACAATTACAAAAGAACAATCACTTGAATTGTAGTTAAGTGGGTCTACCCCTGTCCTTAGTCAAATTGTCTCGTACCCTGCCAACGGCGAGAAACCAGCCCATGCCTGTTTTTTTTTTTTGTTTTTTTTCATGCAACGGAGTCTGTTGCTAGTTTTCACCAGCGTTGCTATGATTTTTCTTGTTTTTGTTCTTGGTACTTTTATCCCCCTTTTGACTACTCCAATCTATTTCCTTTTTATGAAACCTGTGAATCGTGCTTTGCCTGATGATCATAGCTACACAAATTCAATCAACAATGACATGATACAAAATGACACTAAATGATGACAACAACAACAACAACAACAGCAACAAAAAACGTGCGGTTTCTGATTTGTGATTAATCCCCTGGAAATCTATCAAGTACATTTTGAAAAATGCCCATCACTTTTTTTAACCCCCCTTCACACATATTTCCTTTTCATCACATCAACCCTCACCGAAATATACATACAAATACAAATAAAATCTACTAAAACAACACTTAATGGGTTAACCGATCAATGTAAATTAATAAATAAAATAAAACAAGAACCCCCCCCCCCCACAATGAATTGATCAATAATTTTCCCTTTAATCAATTACCATATTTTCCACACGAAAAGCCTTCCATTTTCTTAAAAGCTCACAGCGCCTTAAAATCCGATGCGCCTTGTGTATGGTTATTACGGTAATATGTTGACCCAAAAATGGCTCCTTGCTTGAGACATACTTACAACGCAGAGTTAAGAAACTTAAGGCAATCAGTTTCCAGGTTGAACACGGAAATAGAGCATCGGCAAGAGAGTTCAACGTTAATGAGTCAATGTTATAACTTGCTGTTGGTTAAGTGAACTGTGTGGCTGCTTTATTAAATAGGTTTTACTGATATCTGGTCGTTCTGTTGGCATTTCCTTGAGCGTAGCTCCATCTAGTGGATGCATTGTAGATTGCGTCTTATAATGCAGTAGATCCAATATATGAAAAAAATTACAAAATGGGCCATTTATTGATGGTGCGCCTCATAATCCAGTGCGCCTATTAGTGTGGAAAATACGGTAAGTTAAATTCATCAAATGCCCATCATTGGTTTAAACGCTCATCTTAAATACATTTATGTAGCCAGGAGTTCAGAACATGAAAGGAGTGCCTTAATAAAACAAAAAGTCTTATTTGTATTCGCTGCTCAATACATTTCCCCATCATCAGTCAAGTTACTTTAGACCTGCTCATGGCAGATTGGAACGCCATTAGCGTGTGCAGCTGCTGGTGCATATTACCCATCGGATAATTTTCCCATTCTGACAGCTGCCGCGGGCTCTTTAGACCAGCGATCATCTAGGATCATCCTCGCTCTCACCTGACAAATAAACATAATCCTCTGTATATTTTTGACATGGATCTCCAAGAGTCCTGACCCCTCCAATGCATCCCAGTAATTGCGGTCCGCCGAACACTGAGCCTTCCCTTTTCGTGACCGGTCGCTCTAATGATGCCTCGTCGACTGCCAAAGTGTATACGGACCTGCTGAATGAGTCATTGCTGTCAAAAGGTGATTTGCCAACTGTTCAACTTGATGGCGATAATGGAAGGCGGGGGATGTTTGACCTCATCTCAGCGGCTCTTGCATCAACACTGACCAATTTTTGGAGCCCTAACCACAAAGTTTGGCTGGTGTGCTCAGAAGTGGCTTTGCCGAAGCGGCTGTCTTGCGCTGATAATGCCCCTTAATGACAAGCGCACATTTGTTTATCACCAGCTATACAATTGACGTCTCTCCTTGGATTCTAAAGAACAAGAGCAGCAGTCCCACCAAGGAATCAATCACGGTAATGGTTTCCCTTATGGAAAAGAAAGACAGGTGATAGATCCCGGTCATCATACGCGGCCGAGCACTCCATCACTTGCGCTTGCAGACTCCTGGTTCTTCTGCTCAGTCCGCCCCTCCTCCTCTTTATCTTCTGTGAGCAATCCATCCGCCAACCATCCTGTGTCCTCTGTCCATTTTAGTCCCAGGGGGGCTCGGCGTTAAAGTCCTTTGACCTTTTTGTCACCCCGACCGCTTTTCAGTCATTGCTTCCATCTTCACGTGGGATGTCATAATATTTCGCGAGTGGAACCTCGACTTTCCATTTCTGATTTCAAGTCGACAAAACCAGGCGTCGATTTGAATGAGATGCCGCTCCTCTTCTGTTGATTGGCAGACAGAGAATAGTTGTGTCTGTGCTGCTTTTGCAAAGCAACGTGCAGTCAGCATTTTCAAATTGTGAGTCACATAATTTTTTTGTCCTGTTACGGTCCAACCTGTTTTCACCGTACCCCGTTTATGTTTTCACTCCGATAACATTCACATTTCAAAGTCCCGTTTTCTTGTAATTCATTTTCCATTTGCCGATTTTGCTGACAGCATGAAAAATCATGAAAAATTCATTATCATGACCAGATTTTTCCTACAAAATAGTGAAAAAGCCTTCGTTACAATGAACCGTGCAAGCTAACTGCCACCGCACCCTTGGTTATGAACAAAATGTACAGTGCGAGATTCCCCTATGTTGCTCAGCGACGCTACTGATCGCCGTGTACAGTGTTGTACTTCCGGAGGCACGGTGCAGTCTTGAGCACATGGTCTGAAAACATGTCTGGTAAACGGAAACAAATCTCGCTGTATGCGAAGGCTGAAATTGTCTCTCACTTTTCGAAAGGGAGTCTCCCAAACGAAGCTCAGCCGAGACTACGAATTGGCAAAGTTGAAAATCATCCGTAATGGCAACAAAATCATGGCAGAGTTCAGGCCAAAAAATTGAAAGATGATCATAAACGGCTTTGGTGTGCGGCACATCCTAATCTGGAGAAGACACTTTTATTTGCTGACTGAATGTTTTCAGATATGAAGTGGGAACACTACAGTTGTGTGTCTCTTATCTTATGAAATCATTTTTTTCTTCATGTTGAACACATGAATTTGTAATTGACATGTTTATACTGTATTACATGTATTACGAGCCTTCCTGTTTGGAGTTTGCATGTTCTCCCCGGGCCTGTGTGGGTTTTCTCCGGGTACTCCGGTTTCCTCCCACATTCCAAAAATATGGTTGTTCGTCTATGTGTGCCCTGCGATTGACCGACAAACAGTTCAGGTTGTCCCCCGCTTGCTGCCCGAAAACAGCTGTGATAAGCTCCAGCACACTCGTGACCCTTTTGAGGATAAACAGATCAGAAAATGGACGGACGGATGTATTTCTATAGTGCTCTCACAACAGCTGCAGCTTAAATCTGAATCTGAATCTGAATATACAATGAGTGTAATTATTTTGTTTGTTTTAGTTTCATAGTGAAGTCATTAAACATGAGAGCGATTTCCCGATTAAATTTGCCCGAATAGAGCAAACAAGCACAACCACGTGATCATCGCTGTAAGACCATGCTGAAGTGCATTTTGTCTGTGCTGCGTTTTATCGATCAATAGATAATGAATGTTTTTCTCCGCCCAGAAGTGTATCACTTTGTGAAAACTTAATCAGTCAACACAGTCATCAATATGCTGTGTTTGGAATTAACTAATCAGATTCAATCAGTTAAATAGGACTCAACACACACTTACCACTAAGTCAAGGCAAGACATACACACGTTTCATACACAAGGTAACTCAATGTGCTTTACACAACCAAAAGCACAACACCGAAAAGCATTTACAGACAGAACATTAAAATGACTATAAGAATGTACATTGACAACATTTAAATGCATTTATGAGCAAAAGTTTTAAAAGCAAATTACAGAAAGAAAAAGTTGCTTTCTGAAATTACAAAAAGACCATTTAGTGAAATTGATTTCAAAAACTGATTTTAAGACCTTATTTCAAAGGAATGTGAAAAAGCACAGCTTTTATCCTGTATTTAAATCAGTTTGAACTTGGAGATGACTTCACTTTTGATGGCATTTGAGAACAGCATAACGGATCAATTGGATGCGGTTTCCTTCGAAACCTGGCCCCACTAATTGACCCGAGTCCACAGACCTCTGAACCCTGAAGGATTTTTATTCAATTTGCATTTCATGAATGCATTCGAGATCCATACCATTCAATGATACTGTATATAGAAGTTTTAGCTGATCCTGTAGGCTTTTCTTGGCTTTTATTTTCTTTTTTTAACTTTGTTGCAGAAGCCTGAAGGTCCTATTTGGAACAATTCATAATGCCTTCCACCTTGTCTAAGTCCCAGCTGTAGTAAAATAGCCCCAAAGCATGGTGCCGCTACCTTGCTTCACTGTAAGTATGGCATGGCAATGTGGTGTTTGCACTAAAACATGCCTTTTGGTATTGTGGCCAAAAAATGAAAAGTTGCTTTTGGACCATGAAAAAAAACCTGCAAAAACCACAATCCAAATTCACAAACCCACTTTCTCTAACCCCTAACCTGTGCAGGCTCACAAATGTGAGAAATGTCTCTGTTCTCGCCAGTCCTGAGCTTCACGTTATGTCTATTAAATGTTTAATTGGAAGTCCCCCTCCATTTTCACACATGCAGGGCTCCTTTTGCCGCGCTAACGAGCCGAAATGAAAACTTAATTAGAATTGATAAGCAGCAGCAGCAGCACTCTCCAGTCGAGTCGCATTCGCCGCATTCCATCCGATAAGAAAATGAGAATTTGTCTTAGATTTTACACCTCTTGGCATTGTAAGATGTTCTACCTTGATAATGTCAAGTCAAGCAATTAAACAGAGAGATACTACGCTGGATAAGACCAGGGAAATTAAAAAAGTAAATTACCATTGAGGTGTTCTCAAAGCAATTTGAATGCAAAAAAAAAAAGGGGGGGGGGGGCTTTTCTCTTCCGTGAAGTCATCACATTCACACCCTCACAGCGCACATTTTGATCAACGCAGACAGCAGTTTGTAAGGTTTCTATGATGAAACAAAACACTGACTAACAGTGGATCCCTTGTCTGAAGCTCGCCGATGGGAGTGACTCATTGTCACGGTATCTCAAACAGCATCTCTTGTCTTGATGGCTCACCCTTCTTTTCATGTTGGATAATGGTGGCCCCCAACAGGCCGAGAAGTGTAACTGCATGAGTCACACTGACTCAAGCCTTTTGTGTCACTTTGTGGGCTGACTGAGCGCACATGCAGGACAAAAGCAAAGCGCTTCTTTGATTAATTCCCGTCATGCATCACCATAATCGCCTTGTCTGTGTTCTAATTTCATGCCTTCTTCTTATTTATTGATTTTCCTGTCGCATTATTTATCTATTTGTCCTCAGTCCATTACGGCATCTTTGCCAATGACTGCTCTTTGGAAAAAATCATGCAAGAGACATTCTGAGCTTCACCTGAACTACGACACACACACACACACGCACAATATACCTGTATATGTATATGTGTATATATATATATATATATATATATATATATATATATATATATATATACACACACACACACACAGGTATATATAATTATGTATCGATTAGATTTTGTTGGTGTATGAACACAATTAAGAACATAGTGAATGGTAATTGAGTAAATACCAAGTTAACGTCCTTCCCACCCCCTCCCCGTTTGCTTCGCCATTCCTGAGGATGACACCATATGCCTCTAATAGTGCCAAGGAGGACTTGTTTGACTCCAAAGCCGTGCAGACCTCCGTTGAACCGAACAAAAATCTGCCGTCTCGTATGAATTATTAATTTGTCACTCACTTGTGTCGTGTTTTGTGGAGGGGCATAATTAAAATCTCAGGAGCTCTCTCGGCGACCGTGCTGGGGATTCATCTTCCCGTGGCACGTCTCCATCTGCAGCCATCCTACTCTGCATTAGCCCCCAGCTGCGCGAGCGCCTCCCCCAGCGGAGGGGCACACTCTTGAGAAGAAAGCACTAAATCTTCATATTCCACATCACTTTTCTTTGTCAAGAGCTCATCTAATCTCCTATCAAGAGGCCCACTGAGGTTCTGTTGACACGAAGAGCTTCTCTGGCTTTTAAGGAAGGTGAGCGTGTGAAATTTGTTGCATTTTATTTTATTACTGGCGTTGACATTTGTTGGTGTGCCACTAAGATTGTAAATTTGGCTCTTTTCATGCAATGTGACTCTTGAGAGCAGTTGAGGCTGAGAGCTTTTGATAGGCCATCACGATCCAGCTCAACTTGCACCCCCCGCATGTAACAAATCCAAATCGCGGATACCAAAAATCAGCTCATGTTACTTGTGTGGGAGGGACGCTTGTTATGGCCCACTGGATTTTAATATCCTTTTGTTTTAGCAATATTTGCCCACATGCACCCCCACACATGCCGCGTATGAGCAAGGCCCTAAGTCAGAGATTCTCATACTGCAGTGTGTACACGTCTGGGACATGTCTGGATCAAAAGTGTAATATATCCACTTATAAATATGAAGGTTTGTGAATATTTATCAGTGCGTACAGTGGCTTGTGAAACTATTCATACCTCTTGGACATCTTAGCACGTTTCAACCACCAAAGTTACTTGTATTTCTGGGGGGGAGGTGGGAATGACGCACAGCAGCGCTACGACCAGGAAAAAAAAAAATCTGACTTCTGTCGTAAGCTTTGTCCGCCCCATTTTGAAGAGCAAATACAGACCGCAATGACATAAAGAGCGAATCTGAAACGCCGCATTGATTTAAAGCACCGTGCTAGCCTTTCCAGGCATACTCGGGTGACTAAAAAAAATATAGTGAAATGGCAACAGAAAGTCGAAACAGATCATTCACCTCCCAAAAAACATTAATGGCGTCCAGTAGCGGCTCCATTGTCGTGTCCCTGCCGCAGCTGGAAGATAGAAAGAAAGATGGAATAAATAGGCTGGATCGATTTCTACCTCAACCTAAAGCAGATGATGTTCGTACTTGCAGGACCTCAGTCTTGTTTTTGTTTTATCCATCCATTCATTTTCTGATCCGCTGTATCCTCACAAGGGTCGCGGGGCGTGCTGGAGCCGATCCCAGATGTCTTCGTGCAGTAGGAGTTGGACACCCTGAAACGGTTGCCAGCCAATCGCAGGGTACACAGAGACGAACAACCATCCGCGCTCACACTCACACCTAGAGACAGTTTTGAGTGTTCAATCAGCCTGTCACGCATGTTTTTGGAGTGTGGGAGGAAGACGGAATACCCGGAGAAAACCCACGCAGGCCCGGGGAGAACATGCAAACTCCACACACACCTCTGCATTGTGAGATCGAAGCGCTAACCACTGGACACCGGGCCGTCCTGTTTTTGGTTTAATGTACCGGTATTAAAAAAAAAAAAAAAAAAAAAAAAAAAAAAAGACAATCCAAACAATGTTTTTTTTTCTTTTTTTATGATGTGATAGGATGATTGCTGCACATGGAAATGAGCAGCTCATCAGCAAGCTTTACAGAAGCCCGATAACGTTCCTGATCATTTGAATGAGGTGCGTTGGAGGAGGGGCACATCGAAAATAGGCTGTATGGGGGGCATACAAGAAGAACTTTCCCAACACATAGCCTGATTGTAAGAGTGCCAAGAAAATGACACACAATTTGTTTTTCAAATACCTCTGGGAAGAAAAAAGTGAAAAAAAAAGTATTCAGTCCACCTTTGATAGATTGAAAACAACGTGACCAATTCCCTTCAAAACTGGAAGTGGGTTTTCCATACAAAGCCATCCACTTTGTATCCTACGATGGGCCTCAAGTCTTCACTGTACCTCAAATTTAATGCACGGCAAGATAACAGTCACAAGAGTCCGTCAAAGCTTTAGATCGGAACCTGCCAACTAAACAGTCCCGCTATCTGGCCGCCACGTCGGCCCGGCGATTTTGCGCGGCCCGCCTGGGCTCCGTCCATGCAAGATACGCTTGATCCATTTGCGGCCATGCTCAATCAACCTAATTCTAGCAGGGGCAACACGGAAGCCCGCTACTGCAGTGTGTGCAAGAATGGATTGGCCAACAAAGCAGCTTTAAAGGTCAACGATTTGCTGCCTGCCTGCCTTCCTTTGCCATCCATAAAGAGTTGTAGAGGGCGGCTCTTGCGAACAGGCTGTATGCAAATTTGTCACCAAGTACACTTAGCAAAGTAGAGCGAGTTGGATGGAGAGAGTGACTTCTAAATGTAGAGATGTGCAGCGAGCACGCAAACATCCTCACATGACTTTATGACTAATGAGGACAACCTGGTATGTTTGTGTCATTTCTCACCCAAACGCGAGCATGTGTGCACGCCCACAGTTTTTTTTTTTTTGTGTTTTGTTTTGTTTGAATACCTTGCTTGTGTAGTACGAGGAGCCAATTATATTATCCGCAGGGGACCTCCACTTGACACCGCATAGTGATGATGATGGTAGTTTAATGAAATAAGGTTCCTGCTGTGCCCTTGACGTTTGCAAATGTCTTCGTTTCACTTTTTTTTTTTTTTTTTTAATTTGGTTAGGTTATACAGTATTTTCAAGACATTGTTCCGATACGGGGAGGAGAGCTTTGTGTAATAAAGTGAAGCACAATTCCCAATTTACGGTTTGAAAATCATTCTGTATGGCCGCCGCAGTAATACCAAAATAAATTGGGTGACTTGATGGAAGCAAACATTCTAATTCTAATCATATTTTTGTTGTATTACAGGATTGTTCTGATTTGCGGAGTTTAAATAATCCATCTTTTACTGAAAATGCTGATTTTCACTGTTTCTTTTAAACAAATAACAAC